TCATATAGCATCAGAATCTGACTTTTTACCTGTCATGGTAGTTTGTGAATAAAGAGCTACCTCGGCATGCTCATATTTTTAACCAGTTTCATAAAAAAGTTAAATCAGTCTAGACTCTTGTGTATGGAGCTCATGATAAGCAGAATAGATATTTTTTATAGTACTTCTTTATAATTATAGAATCAAATAAAATTCTCAAGATAAACCAATGAAGGATATTGCATTGTAGGACTGGATAGTCTTAATGGATATGAAGCTCGGAACGAAGGCTCTTGAAGATTAATTTTATACTATGATAAGATCAGTGTAGATAAGTTTCTTTCCAAATTAATCGCCAGGTAATCAAAGTTATAAGAATAACCCTACTGGAATTTGTGATTTGGATTAAAAATTGAAGGATATTGCAAGATATCAGAGACGGATATGTCTACAATGAGAAAAATTGCTTATGAAAAAGGTGCTTCCTTGTTAAGGGCATATTCTGGGATCATTTGAAGCATATGAATCCCGAGTTATTCTGGAGGCTTAGTTGAGATATATTTAAGTGAGTGCTAGTGTAAGTGGTGACTGCTAAATGCCAACAGTTAAACCATTAGAAATTTACAACTTAACCGTGGGAATTTACAACATTAGAAAAATTACCCAAGATGATGATGATGATGATGATAATAATACGCGCATGACCATGGGATTTTTTTTGTGTGTTTCAAAAATGAGTGGGAACATGTTCGGAAAATGTTGTAAAAGTGGATTGTTCTCAATGATATTGAAGTATATTTAGTCTTAAGGAGAATGGAAGTTAGATTAAGGAAAAACAGGATCACTTGATGCACATAGGCCCTGAGATCATGAGTTGAGCTAAACATTGGAAGAGGCGTTTAGGGTGGATGGATGATGAAATTAGGGAATATAATTTTAAAGAGGTAAATTTAGGATTATATGAGAGAAATGAAATTAATGAGAACTTTTGAGCCACATGAGGCATTGGTGACGAAATTCTCAATCTACATTGATGTATAACTTAAACGTGAAGGCATTAGCAAATGTGGTAAGAGAAACATGAAATGCACTTTGCTTTGAAGAAAAACACATAAGCCCTGTTTGGATTGAGGTGAATAAGGAAGAAGGGAAGTTAGGGGAGGCATGCATCCTGTTTGGATTTGTTTTTTGTGGGTGAAGAGTTCCCCCTAGTTCATCCTCAACAACACAAAAATTGGGGTGTAATGGAGAGGTGATAACAAAATACTTACCGGAGGAAATGAGGACAAGTACATCTCATAGAACTTTTAGTTGATTCTAATGTCACAATTTTTTTTAGTTAGTTAATTCTAACGTCACAAATAAAACGACAAAATAGTTATAATTTCATCAGGTATTTGAATTGAAATATTATACTTCTGATCAAGACAAAGTTCTATGTCTGAAGCAGCAGGATCCTTTTCCGTCCTACTGAAGGCTTGCAGATTTTGTCACCATTACCTAAACCATTGACAAATAAGTGATCTTTTTTCTCCTTTTTTCCCCTCTACTTTAATTTTCAGCATCTACAACTCGTTTGTTTGACTAAAGGGATGAATGAACGCAGGAAGTGAATGACAGTGCGCCAATATGGCAGCATCTCAGGATATATAGTCTCTCAGATGGCATTGAGGGCATCTCCAACAGCTTCTCTAAAATTTTCTCCAAAATGTGGAAGCAAAAGTCATATTCTCCAAATTATTTTTACACTAACTCCAACAGCTTCCCCATTTTGAAGAATCTTTTTTTCCCTCCAAAAATTTGGAGAATGCTGCAGATTTGGGGAAGCTTCCCCATTTTTTCTCTTCCATCCCTATTTTAGGGAATGAGATGGGGAATCTGTTGGACCAAAAACCTAACTATATTCTCAAAAAGTGAGAAATGGGGAAACTGTTGGAGATGCTATGAGACGAGCGGCAATGCGGTGAACAGAAGTTATGCTATGCATCGATGAGTGTTGCGCTATGTTGCTATGCTCCGATGAGTTTTATGTAATTTGAATGTGGGCTTCAGTTGTCATTTTCTTGTATTTCAAAGGACTTGGATCCCTTTTTCCCCTGCCAAATCTACAGTCACATCAGCAGCTTTACTTGTACAGTCACATCAGCGCTATGTCACATGGGCAGGTTGATCCTAAATAGTGTTGACATACCTTGTTGTTTCACTCGTGTACCCCTTAAATGCTCAAAAGTTACAAACTGTAGCGAAAAGATGCCTTGCTTTGGTACAATTGTGCAAATTACTACATTCTGCACAATTACTACATTCGGTTAACCTGTTAGAATATTTTCCCGAATATTCCCACGTGCGGACCACACGTGAAAGTTTATTGTATTTTTATCCTTGTTATATGTACCATGTTACCCATCTTATTCACGACAGCCCAGGCAGGCCTAAAGTCGGAGGATGGAAGAATACATTAGCATATATGCAGACTAGTGTGCACAGACTTTTTTTCGTTTTTGCCACAGTATTTTTTAATTTCTGCTGCAGTAATGTTTTTAAATGCTATATTATTTTTGTAAAGACTACAATAACTTTTAAATGCTACGGTGTTTTATCTGTGCTACCGTAAGTAATTAACTGTAACAGGAAGAATGAATTTTTGGTACTCCGTATAGAGGAGTAGACTAGTGTGCACCATGTGCAAAGCATGACCTCCTATTTTTTTAAGCACTACGTTTTGAACTTGCTTCCCTCGAAGTTTTAGTACATGTGATTTAATTATTGTATACTTAAATTAGAAATCATATCTATTCCACTATACTTAAAGAACGATCCAAGTTTTAGTACATTTTATTTAGAAATTATATCTACTCCTCTATACTTAAAGAAGGATCAAAGTCTTAATACATTTGATATTTTTTACGGTTTAAAATTTAGTAAAATACTGTAGCATAAATAGTAACTTTAAGTATAGAAGTGCAGATTTGATTTAATGTTAATACTATAGTAAATACTATAGTATAAACAGCAACTTTTGAGTTCAGAGGATAGATTGATTTCCTATTTATACTATGGTATTTACTGCTATAGTATTTACTAGCACGACCCTCATTTTTTTATTTTTGCTAATGTAATTTTGTTTTTTGATGCTACAGTTTTTTTTAAGTGCTGCAGTAATATTTTCATTGTTGTATTTGATTTGAGAGACTTCTCTCAATCCAGATAGAGTCATAACTTATATTTCTGGAACAATATACAGATTTGTTGTTGCATACTACCAATTGAATGTTTATCTCACAAAATCCCCGGAATTTTGGTGTCTTGCAAACAACCCGTGAAGTTTTAAACTTTTTTCGTCAAATCCCTTACTTATAATTGGCAAATAACATAAATGTACGGAAAACGTGCACTTTGATCATCAGTCTCATTCTATTAATCAAATTGTATCTTATGTTATTAGACAATAAATTGAATCCATGACTATAATTCTTCATTTGTTTTGTCAAGCCATCGTCCTGGTTCTAGCCGACAATTAATGACATGAAGTTTGCAGAGATGAACAAATTTGCACAAGCGTACAGGTCTCTCACTCATCCGTAGTCTTTCTCATGACCGTTGCCACCCCCCAACCTCCTAAAAAAACCCCACCCACCCACGCCACCCTTGTTTGAAATAGAACCGGATAAGTTTGGCCCAAAATAGATAAAGGAAAGGAAAATATCTTTGATTATCAAATTGTCATTCTATCAGAATATATTTGATCATCAATTATGTACGACTCTCTCTTTATATATAGCTGTATTTGCCAAACAAGATTTAGTTCTAGAGAGTTTTGTTTAAAAATTAGCCAAACTAAGATCAACTCAAAGCTACTTCACGCAGAAACTAGTATAATCTAACCTAGGCTAATTAAACATAACTGGACCAAAACTAAATCTGATTAATTTCTAAGTTGCCAAACTAACCCTTTGATCGAGATTAAGAACCAGTAATATATCCTTCTCACCCTTTTTGCAAAAAGCCAATAAAACAACCTAGTATTATTTTAATTTTTCAAAATTTTATAACGTTTAAGAAGAATTTAGATGATCTGAAAATAATTGATCGATAAATAACTTAAAGAAATGGTGATGATTTTTTTATAACTTTCTTCTTTCATGATTATAAAAACATAATATTTGCTATGTTGAAATTAATTTTTTCTATTGAAATTATCTCAAAAATTATTAATTATTGAACATATGACATGAAAAGATAATGTTGCGATTCCAAAAAAAACCTATAAGGAAACTCCGTAGAAAATCTATAGGATACTAAACCAAGCCGATAATTATAACTATTTTCAAAGATCTCATTTTATCCCTTTTATTTTATTGATGCATTTAATTCCTAAATACCCCTTAAAGTTATCCTTATTTACAGTTCTAGGCGTGGAACACCAAAAAAACCGCATATCTATTCCTCTATTACAAATCTACTAGTTTGCGGTCCGTGCAAAGCACGGCGATAAAATTTTTTATGCTACAACAATCATGTTTCTTAAATGCTACAATAAGTTTTGAATTGCTACAATATCTCGCAATTTGAAAATACTACCGTGTTCCCGTGTGCTACAGTAATAATGCTACTGTTCATAACAACAGCCATAAGTTCATTGAATTGCTACAGTATCTCACATTTTTTTTAAATTGCTACAATATTCTAGTGTGTTACAGTAATAATACTACTGTTCATACTACAACAATTATTTTACTGTTGAATTTACTGTAATATGAATAAGAATTCTCTGATCCTCCTATTTGAATAGAGGAATAGATTCCTCTATACAAATTGGAGGATAAGAGAATTCCTGTTTATGCTATAGTAATTCTCTCTCTTCCCGCGCCGTCACTCTGCTACAGTAATCCTCAGTACCCCTCCAGTCTCTCTATCCCAGCACTCAACACACACTCTCTCTCTCTCTCCCCAATTCAAAATTTAAAAAGCCCCCTCTTTTCTGTGTATAAAACCCCCTAGAAATCCCAATCCCACACTATCTCTATGTTCCAACCAAAATAACCCTCTCTTTCTCTGAATCCATCCAAAAGATCTACCCCCTCTCTCGAAACCCCCAGCTGCTCGCTCTCTCGCCTCCCCAATCGAGCCGAGGATGAGGAGATGAAGCGAGGAGGAGCTCGAGGGCTCAGCGCCCGAGCAACGGAGGCAGCGGAAACGGCGAGCTCAGGCCCCTCTTCTCTCCTCGCCCGAGCAACGAAGGTCGACAAAAGAAGGTAAATGTCGAAACTTTGAACCTCTTCTTATCTTTTGAATGCTTCGATTCCGGCTGCTTCAGCTGATTATAACATTCACAAGGGTTATGATTCATAAGGTGAGATCTTTTTTGAGTTCTTTGATATACTTTGATGGGTACATGGGGAGCATCCGCTCTCTAAGATTCCCGTACACAGAGCTACAATGGCCCTTCATGATGCAGCTTATATCAAGGCTTCTCCTAACCTTCTCGGTTTGAAGGCATTCTTCAAAGATTGCTGCTTTTCTTCTCTTTTTGCCTTTAAACATTACGTGTAGATGTTATTTTAATTGAAGAAGTTGGGAATAAAACAGCGATGCTGTTGATGAGGAAATTGCAATTGCCAATTTAGTGAGGTGGTAATTTTTTCCAGCATCCGTTGTAGGTTTTCCGTTGGTTTTGAAGTTGAGTGAATTTTGTATGAGCTGACGACTTCAGTGCATTGTGTGATATGGGATGTTTATTCCTAAATCTGTTTAATGATTCTTTTTCCCCCCTCTTTGTGTTCCTTACTTTTATTTGGTTTTTTTTATAGGGCGAGACCACTGAATGGGTAAACTTGGAATATGGCCACCCAAATCCTTCAGATGAAGATTGGATTGGAGTTTTTTCTCCTGCAAAATTCAGGTTTCTGTCATTTTAATTTTTTTGGTTTATTTTGGAAAGCAAGGGAGGACCAACAACTTACCGTATGACTTTTGAGAGATCTAATTGTGAATAAATAAATGCTTTATTTGATCACTGTTGTTTCTGTATGGTGGTAAAAATTTAACTTGATTTTTTTCCTTTGAGGGGGGAAAATGTGCCTAAACATTTTACAAAGTTGTTTCTATGGCTTATTAAGCTATTAACAATGTGATTATGATGATGATTAAAAGGATAATTAAGCTACTTCTAAAAAAACATTAATATAGCTTGAAACATTAATCTACCACGTGTGGGTCATTTTTGTAGTCTGTGATTCAATAAATAAAAATGGCACTTCTTCTGTTTTTTTATCTTTGCTTTTCTTCAGTACTTCTGTCTGTGAGCCAGAGAGTGGAAGAGATCAGCCTCCGTTACTCTGTACTTCCCCTATCAAGGTTGGTATTTTGAATTGTTGTTCTTTTGGTCCTGTCATCTCTAAGATTAGGCAAATTAAAATTTTCTTTGAAGATAACAGTATTGAAGGTCACTCAAATTTAATTTGTGTAAAAGGTTTATTTTTATTGAAATTTTCAATTGAAGATTGTATTTAATATACATGCAAATGAAAATATTATTAGTTCAAGAAAAATTACTTTATTTACCAGTCTATTTGATTTTTGGGTTTTTGTTGTAACTGCTTATTTTTGTTGTAACTGCTGAAAATAACCATCTTTCTGGATATGATACGGCTCAAAGCATTTATTATATCACTCCTATATCATTCATAGATCCAACAATCTATTTATATATTTATGTATCTCTATGATGTAATGAATTCTAATTGTATCCACTTTTTAAGATTTCAATTTGTTGATTAGTATAATTTGTTTATTATGTAAATGATTAGAGTCATTTATTTTCATAGTATTAGAGATGATTACTGTCATTTGTTTAACCTGTCCTGTTTGTTGGTTCTCCGGTGATAATGAAATAGAGAAGATAGTTGTTTTAGATGCCATAATCTCCTTTATTTTTTTTATCAGATTAATGTTTGGTTTAGTACTCTCCCTCTTTTTGGACGGGAATTGCAATGATGCAAACAATAGGATGCATTTTATGCAATGACAAGCACATGTTGGACTTATGTTAGAAATCAGAGGTTTGATTTTGATTCTATCTTACTCATTCTAAAGTCAATTTGTTATTTAAAAATCATGCATCATTTTTTATTAAACATGAGGAGTTTCCTGGGCTAACTATTTAATTATTTGGTGAAAGTTGAGGAGTGGCATGGGCTTATGTTGAATTGATGGGCAATGGTTATATTTGAACCATCTGCTTTTATCATTTGACATTTATGACCATCATATAACCTACTGAATGCCTTTTACTTTTGTTCTTTTCACATTATTGGCATCCTTGGTATGATCATTGTTAGGTGTTACCAAATTCTTCACACATCTAAAATTTGTGGTTTGCCCACATCAGGTGTCTTTGTGGTTGAAGATGTAATTTGCTTGATTTATAACGTTTACCTTTTAAATTAGTTTAGTGCCGTCTAGCAAATAAACACATCTTACATTATAAGTTTTGATTGGCTTTGGATAAACTAAGTGTACTAACTGCATTCCTTAGATATGGAGAGCAAACCTATAAAGATCTGGTCAACAGAGGAGAAATTGTTGTCATGCTTCCCTCTCTATTTATAAAGTGATTCATGATTTATATAGAATATTTAGAGCCTGTCTTATTGAGTACAATTTATGGATTAAATGGTTGGTGCCTGGGCCTGCTAGCATATTGCACACTGGAGTATGGTCATTTGAGGTCCTATAAAATACTCTTTTTTTTGGCACTAGAATGTGGGAACCTAACTTAATAATCACTCGATAGTGATTTACATTTTCACCATTGTTCAGAAGGCATAAATCGAGGATGCTGCCTCAGGATTGTTACTACACACCAACGATGGAGTATTTGAATTAACCTTTTATGACCTTTGGTTGTGTACAATCTTCCACTCATTTGGTAATGCATCATTTCAAGGATAACTTGCATGTAGTATATTTGTATTCTTATATTCATACATATTAGCTCATTTACGCAGATGGTGCTTCTATATCTAATTATGTGGTTCTGAGTATAACATGATATTTTATGAATTTGGTATTTTTCTCATGTTCAACTGTGAATCATTTCCTATTGCCTAATGCTTCAATATCCATTTGGTTTAAATTTCATAATTCAGTTTTTTAGCGTAGAAGCTAAGGAAAAGTCTTGCTTGATTGAGAAAAGTGGTTATGAAATGTCTTGCTCGGTTTGCTTTGGCAAAAAGAGGCTTTGAAAAGCTGATGTTATAAAATGTTCTATTTAGCTGTCATTTTCATGTTGGCTTGCTTGAACCTTAGCATTCAAAGTAAATGAGGTGATCTGATTATATTTTCAAATGTCCATACTGTGGTTTGCTAAATCGGGATAGCATGGGCCTTACCTTATATCTTTTGTGTTTTCAGGAAAAGTAGTTGCTAAGTTCTGCGTAAAATATCTGCACACTCAGGTGCTCAAGAATGAAGCTTCTTCAGCTGGTGATTTAGGTGTTTCTATCCAAAAATCTTTCTTCAGGTATTCCATTTTTACTTTTGGTTTTCATTTCCACTTTTTTAATAACTTGGAACAATGTTATGCCTCATTCAGTAGCTGCATCAAAGGAGAATTTTTGGTGGTTCAAAGCTAAAATGCATGTCATGCATGCGTTTATTTGTCTTTGTTTCAGAATGGGCGAGATGATGCGTGGGGCAGAGAGGATGGAGGGAGTTTGCTGTATTGGGAGATAAGATAAACAAGTTTACTGGTATGATAGAAGGCTTCATATGGTCTCCGTAGGCTGGTGATTCCCATGACCAACAAGATGACTGGGCATTTGAAGAGGTACACCTAGAAAACATTTTAACATCAATATGTGATATTTCTCTGTGATGATACTTCTGACACATAACAAGGGTATTTTTGTGAAATTTGCCATAGCAAACATGTTATAACTGATATTAGTTACATATTCATGTAGTCGCTAACTAAGGAGATAGACTGAATTTCAGCACCCCGTGTAAAGCATGGCCCTCGCCTCTTTTCTATCGTTGCACTTGGAACACCCCTCTTAGTTTTAATTACATATTATTATTTTACAATTAAAATTATAAAGCATGATCACATAAAAAATAGAGCAATAAACTAAACGAAAAGTATCACAAAATAGAGCTAAACAAGATCGAAATCAGCATCAAAATATCAAAAATAGTACCTATTCCACACAACATAGCTAAACAAGCTCGAAATCAGCTTGAATATAACAAAAACAGCAACACCAGCTCAAACAGAGCTCATAACTGAACATATTTACACAGTACAGAGCTAAACAAGCTCAAAATCAGCATGATCACATCAAAAGCAGCACCAACTAAAAATAGCACCAATGCCCACATAAAATAGAGCTAAACAAGCTCGAATTCAGCATGAAAAAAAATCAAAATCAACACCGAACCTCAAACAGAGCTCAGAACCGAACCTATTTACACAAAATACAGAGTTAAACAAGCCCGAAATAAGCATGATAACATCAAAAATAGCACCACGAACTCAAACAGAGCTCAAAATAGCACCAATCCTACACAAAATAGAGCTAAACAAGTTTGAAATCAGCACCAGAATCCATGAATACTTACTAGGGCTCAGGATATAAATAGATTGGTCATAAAAGATCGCATCTCCTATAAAACTATGATACAATGTAGGCTGCTCTTCTGAGGGATTACCTCAGCCAAACATTGTAATATCAATGTAGGTTGCATTCCACATAAAATTGCCTCGCCTAAACATTACATAATTAGTATAGGATGCATTCTCAGTTTGTTATCATCATCATTTCCCATCTAATAAACATAAACAAAAAGAACCCATATCAGAATTGAGTACCAAAGAAAGCCATCCGTCAATAAGCTCAAACAAAAAGAACCCATACCAGAACATGTACTTCCCATACTACTCATTTTATCCTCATCTGAAGAGACCTGTATGTAATGTATTCATGTCACTACACCAGTAGCCATCAATATTTTTATTCACATACTACTCATTTTATTCACATACTCATTTTAACCTTCTAAACAGTGTTATATTGAAAATTGTGGATAATAACAATGAAAGAAAGGGACAAGTTCACAAATAACTATTAATAAATTGCATAGGAATTTCAACTTAAAAGAGAATTTGTAAATATAAAGACTTACTTTCTTTTGTAGAACAAAAAAAAAATTGAAGATGAAGAATTAGATAATATCAAGACCAATTTAAGCTACTTTACTTTTCCAAAACAACTCTCCCGCGAGATACAAAATAAATTGACCTCTTGAATAGTAATTGGCTGCAAAATTTTGCCATTGACAAAACTTTGGAAAGAGATATTCGACTACTTTAGTAATATATTAAATGTTATCACTGTTATAAATAGCGGTAAATAGCCCCGCAATAGCGGCGCTAATAGCGTTAGCGGTCCCTTCCCGCTACGCTATCGACAATAGCGATGAAATATTACGGAATATGCGATTTCCATTCGTAAAAGCGGTCAATAGTGTGCCATAACGGTAAATAGTGGACGATTGCATACGAAATCGGCTTTTGTGACTGCTATTTAAAAGCGGTTTGTGGTTTATTTTTTTAAAATAAACCCGGCCTTTGACTATTGCATTCCACCGTCTCTTGTAATTTCGACATACTCCCGCCACCTCTTATAGTCTCTGGCACCTACCTCAATACTTCCTCTTATCTCCTTCACCGTGAGCTCCTCTTAGGGCTGTCCTCTCATCGCTCAACTCTTCTGCTCGAGGACGATGATTCTTTGATTCCTCCAGTCATCTTCGGTAATACGTGATGATTATATGTTTATTTCATGTTTAGGATCTCTTTAAATCATCAAATATGTACTTTTAGAATTTTTAGATTTTTCTTTAATCTTTTTTTTTAGTATTTATACATATCTTAATTAGACCGCTATTTGACTTTGTACTTTTTACCGCTATTTTACAGCAATTGCCCTAAATAACCTTAGCGATGCCTCATCGATACGCGGCGCTATCAGCTATCGATTATCTTAAATTTTATATTCTTAAACTAGGAAATTTAGAGTTGACCTTATATTCTTTAGAGCAAGAATGTACAAGCATCAGATTTATAATTTTTCATTTTAAGCATACAATAATCAAATTAAATGTATTAAAACAGAGACAAAATTTTAAAATACAATGATAGAAAAAAATAAGCTGACGTGCTTTGCACGGGGTACACTAGTCCCTTAAATAGTGGAATAAGAACGTGACAATGGTGTTCCTAGATCAGTTTGTTGGAGCACCGAAGCTGCTGAACATGACAACGATGCTCCTAAATTAGTTTGTTGGAGCACCGAAGCTGCTCTCTTCATTTTTTCCTTCTATTTCTTTTTCTTTATTTTCTCCAAAAAAAAACCCAACTTTCTCTATTCAAATCTCTTGTAAAACAATCACAACCTCTCTCTCTCTCTCTCCTCTACTTCGAGGTTACATTGGCCT